GCCCTGTTCTCTAGCCCGGAGCGACTCTCAGCCAGCGGAAAACAGGAGGTTTATTGAGCGTTGAACCCAGCACAGGAAACTCTCAGGGCCTCAGGCCTGGCCTCCCTCAGCCCAGCACATCCCAGTCTCCCCTGCAGCCAGGGGGACTCTGGCGGCTTCCTCCCAGTCCAGCCGCCCCCTCCTTGCAGCCCATCATCTGATATATCTCCCCCTACAGCTCCTCCCCGTCCTTTGTCTGCAGTCCCAGGTAAACAGATCACCTGGGCCTCCTCTCTCCAGTCCTTTGTTCCTCTCTGGCTGGAGCCGGCTGGGCCTCTGGGTCACTAGTTGCCGGGTCCCCCATGTCCAGGCCGTTGTCAGGGTCCTGGCTGCTGGGCGAGGTCACACCTGGTCCCCTGCAACAGCAACCCCCACCCCCTCATTACACATGCAGCACACAGGGAAACCGAGGCACACACAGGGTTCATGCAAAAAACTAAGAAACCCCCCCCTTCGTCACAGAGGGCCCCTCAGTGCTCCCCAGCGCCTGGCACTTGGGGACCCCGAGCTCCCCCAGGCTGGCAGGTGCCTCTCCGGGTGAAAGCCCCCACCCCGCTGAACCCGGGAGGGGGCATTTCCCCTTTCAGTGCGACGGGAGCCCCTCCGTTCTGTACAGCTCCACCCCAGGCACCTGCAGACGCCGTGGGGCACGACAGGGCCGACCGGGCTGTCTGCGGCAACGTGGGCTGAGCAGCGCCCTCCCATGGGGCACACGGCATGCGGCTGTGCCAGCCAGGGGGACATGGCATCAGCACGGTGTCACCTCACTGTGGGATCGTGCCCCCCATCGTCCCCCTCGCTGCGGGATCGGCCCCTCCCCCGAACCCCTCACTGCTGGATCGGCCCCCACATTGTCCCCCCCCCCTGCTGCGGGATTGGCCCTCCCCCCCATCGTCCCCCTCGCTGCGGGATCGGCCCCTCTCCCCATCCCCCTCGCTGCGGGATCGGCCCCCCCATAATCCCCCTCGCTGTGGGATCAGCCCTCCCCCCATCTCCCTCACTGCGGGATTGGCCCCCTCATCGTCCACCTCGCTGCGGGATCGGGCCCCTGGGCCCTTATAACGGCAGGATCAGGCCCCCCATGCCATCGCTACAGGCCTGACTCTCCTCTCTGTGCCCTTGGGGTCCCTGCGGTCCCTGGTGCCCTGCGAGCGCCGTGCTCTGTACGTCCTGCGCAGGCCTGGCATGCTGGGCCGTGCCGGCTCCCGGCAGCATGTGTGGGGTGCCCCGGCACGGGGTGGCGGGCGCGGGGCGTGCGCCCCGCTGGAGGCTGCCGGCCCTGCTGCATTGGCCTGCGCAGAGGCAGGGTCCGGGCGCCAGCGCCAGCCGGGTTGGAGCTTTGCTCTTGGCATCGGCCGCGGCGTGAGAGTGGCTCTGACCCGCTGCGCGGTGCCCAGGGGAAGCGGGGGCGGCTGCTGGGGGGGGTGCCCTAGCGAGGGGGGGGGTGTTCCCGGGGCTGAGTGGGGGGGGCACAGCTGGTGCTGCTGCAGGTCCTGGGTGGCAGGGCCTGACCCGCGTGGCAGGCAAGGTGGGGGGATGGGGGGCCCCTGTTCCGCTCCCTGCCTCTGCTTGGACATCCCCGGCCTTGAACCGAGCTGGGGCCATCGGCGGGTGCTGGGCCCTGCCGCGCCCCTGGGACTGGGCCGAAGACTGCAGCTGCCCGGTGGGGCAGCTCCTGCCCCATGGCTCCAGGGCTTGGTGAGCCCCTGGGCACGCTGGGCGAGCCGGGTGGTGCGTTGTTCCGGGGCCTCTCTCCAGGGGGGCGGCGTTTGCCCGAGGTTTCCTGGCCCCCCTTTCGGGCGTTGGGGGGGCGCAGGAACTTGGCAGCAGCGATTCCAGGAGCCTGGCCAGCCCGGAGCCGAGGGAACCGCTGGCGCATGCAGAGCTGCAGCCGGCTCGGGCTCCGCTCCGCGCGGCATTAATTCCCGGGAAGGGGAGGGAGCCCTAATCCCTGACAGCTGCTGCTTCGCACGGATCAATAACCCTTTTCACTTTTCCCGCTGCTTGTTCCGCGGGGAGCGCCATCGATCGGGCAGCTCCTCCTGCCGGCTTCCTCCCTCCTCGCCCCTGATCGCGCAGCCGGCAAGGGAGGAGGCAGGTGGCCCGCGGCGAGGGCACGGGCGGCACGGCCGCGAGGAGCCAGCGGATTTGCACCTCCCAACTTTGGGAGCAGGAGCCGCGCGGCAGGGAGGCGGTTAACGTCCAGGAGGATCTACAGCCGGGGGATTAGGAGGGGCTGCTCTGCTGGCCGGCGTCTCCGGCTCCCCGTCCCCGCTCCCGCCCGGGGCTGCTCCTCTCCTGGGGCAGGAACTCGTGGGCAGGGGCTGCCAGGCCCCGGCGAGCGGAGCTGCCAGCGAGCGGCAGCGGCAGCTGAGGCCGGCAGTGCTCTCTGCTCTCCTTGGCATCACTTTGCCGTGGCCGAGCTATTCTAACAAGTGGCTGGAGCAGCACTTTGGAGCCCGGCGGGGCTCGGTTCGGCGCGGTGCCCCTGCCCGGGGGCTCCGGTCGCTGCCCGCTGCCTCCGCTCGCGCCGGGCTGCACGGGGAAATAACGGTGACATGTCTTGAATGATTAAGTATTCCCTGGATTGTATTAGCACATGCTGCCTGTGTCTGCCGGGTCTTAGCAGCGTTCAGCGGAGGCAGAGGCAGGGTTATTTGACAGCTGTATTTGTGCTGATAAGCGAAGGCACAAGGAGACGATCGACTAGTGAGACAAGTGGGAAGCAGCAGCGGCTAGGAGCGCCGGAGAAGGGCTGTGCTTGCCTTGGCGGGTGAGGTGTCCTGCCCCAGAGGAGGCTCTGCCGTGCCCGTCCCCGGGTCTGGCCGGGTCCCCGCACCGGGGGCGAGCTCGCTGGCTGGGCACGGTGGGCGCGCCGGCCGCTCTGGGCAGATGCCGATTGAGATCGTGTGCAAAATTAAATTTGCCGAGGAGGATGAGAAGCAGAAGGAGGAAGAGGAAGGGGACAAGGAGAGTCTGATCGAGGAGCCCAGCCGCCCGCGCACCCGCGACCTGGCCACCTTCGCTGGCACCAGCACCCTGCATGGCCTTGGCCACATCTGTGGGTCAGGGCGCCTGGGCGTCCGGCAGACCCTGTGGGCGTTCGCCTTCCTGCTCTCGCTGGCCTTCTTCTTCTCGCAGGCGGCCCGCTCGGCGCTGCTCTACCTGGAGCGCCCGCACCTCACGGCGCTGGACGAGGAGGCCGCCCGCGAGATGCTCTTCCCGGCCGTCACCATCTGCAACATCAACCGCTTCCGCCACTCCGCGCTCTCCGACGCCGACATCTTCCACCTGGCCAACATGACCGGGCTGCCCCCCAAGGACCGCGAGGGGCACAGGGCGGCCGACCTGCTCTACCCCGACCCGGACATGGCCGACATCCTCAACCGCACCGGCCACCAGCTCGACGACATGCTCCAGAGCTGCAACTTCAGCGGCGAGAAGTGCTCCTCCCAGAACTTCACCGTGGTGAGTCCCCGCCTGGCTGGAGGCGCCTGGCCCCGGGCGCTGGCACCTGCTGCTCCAGCGTCGTCTGCTCGAGTTTCCCTCCGGGTTCCCCGAGGAGAGCCCTTCCCAGAGCTCTGTCCAGGGGCCAGGCTGTGCTGGGGGGGGGCTCTGGGCCCCCCGGATGGAGGGGCTTGCAGAGCTGGTGCCAGGGGGAGCTGAGGGGTGGCTGGATGCTTTGGGAAGTTGCAGTTCGTTGCCTTGCTCTGGTCTGTGGGACCCTGCTCAGTGCCTGGCTGCTCTCTGGCCGGCCGGGCTGGGTGGCACTGGGGTCGCCAGGCAGCACGGGGGCAGCCCCCAGCACTGGGGCTGGCAGGGGGTTCGTGAGGAGAGACACCCCACGGGGTGCCAGGGTCACACGTGTGCTTGGAGTACCCGAGCAGCTGCTGCTCCCAACGTGCCTCCGTCTGCCCCGGCAGCCTGCCCGGCCCTGGGCTGGCCCCTTCCACGCGGGGCCCGAGGGCCCAGGCCGCTCCCCAGGTGCTGGTCCAGGCAGCGCGGCCCCAGCCGGGGCTAGCGCAGGCGCCGGAAGACCCAAATCCGCGCTGTGCTTTGGGGAAATGAATGTGCTGAGCGGGCGGAATACCTGATGGGACCTTTGCCGCCCGTAATGACTCTGGAAATGAGCCGCTTCCCTCCTGCGGCTGCCACGCGGCCTGATCCTCACTCCCGGAGCAGCGCTGCCAGCTGCAGCCCGCGCCCGGCTCGGGGAGGGGAGGCTGCAGGCACCAGGGCGCAGGGCAGCGGGGCTCACCCAGCACCATGAGGCCAGAGCTGGCCAGGGGAGATGCCATCTCTGTGCAGTGAGGGGGGGAGGAGAGGGGGGCTCTGGGGAGGGCAGGATGCTGCCCCTCTCCCTGGTGGGTGTTGCGGGGGGCAGAGGGGGTCGTGGCCTGTGTGGCTGTTGGGCAGAGGCATGAGCACAGAGCTGGGAGCCGGGAGCCCGGCGCTCTGATCCCCTCTCTGTGCCTTGGCTCCTGGAGCGGGTGCGGGGCTCAGACCCCTGTCTCCTCACTGCCCCCGCCAGGGTCCCTGGGCTGAGTCTGCGGAGGGGGATTGAAGGCCGGGGCTGTGCCAGGATGGGGGGCTGGAAGTGAGGCCAGCACAGAGGGGAGGGGTTGGCTGTGGGGCTGCCTGTCGCTGGAGGGCTTGGCTAAGCGCCGGGTCCCACTGAGCCCTTCGAGGCAGAGCCCAGGCTCCCTGGGGCCAAGCCGTGGGCCCCGCTGCTGGCGGTGTGGGGTGGCGGGTTGCTGTGTGGGGCCGTTTCTAAGCAGGGTGCCATGGGGAGGGACGGGTAGTGCCGGGGGGTGGGTTTTGGGGGCCCACTGGAGGTGTGGGGCTGGTGCTGGGGGGAGGGACGTATGGGGGGGAAGAGCCAGGCACTGCTCCTCTCCCCCAGCTTGTGCTGGGGTGGGCACAGGACTCCTGGGTTCTCACCCCACTCAGCCGCGAGAGCTGGTGTGAGTGCGTCCCAGCGGAGGTGGGTTGGAGCAGTGCTCTGGCCAGGAGCTGTGGGGCAGCAGTGGGGCTGGCTCTCTGCCTGGGGCCTGGCCCTGTGTGCTCTCCTGGGGGGCAGGGCTGCCCCTCGCTGTGCCCGGGCGCTGGGCCCTTTACTGCAGGCAGCGAGTTGGAAATCAGCCTCTGGCCCGTCACCAGCCTGGTTCTTTATGGGCCGGCACGGGGGGAAAATCCCGGCGTAAGCAGCTTCCGAGTCGTAAAGCCGGGCCGGGCTGTAAATCTCCCGCTGGCTGGGGCGGGCAGAGCCGCAGCCTGGTTCCCTGCAGCTGGACTGCGGGTCCCCCTGCGCTCCGGCGTGGGAGAGATGCAGGGGCCCGGGCACCCACCCCCGCCTGCGCTGCCCCCCGCCCTGCCCAGCGGCTCTTCCCAGCCTTGGCGTGGGCAGCGGGGGGGCCCGTGTCTCCGGTGGGGCCTGGGGTGGAGGAGCAGGGAGCCCGTGGTGCTGGGAGTCGCCGTCACGCTCCAGCGGGCGGTTTCCTGTTCTAGTCCTTGGCAGCGGCTGGGACGGGGGCTGCTGGGCTGCCCCGGCCTGATCCTGGGGTGTGGCCCAGTCCTGCCCGAGCCCAGCGCAGTGACCATAGCGTGTCCTGAGCGCTGCCCCCCCAAACGCCCCGCACAGGCGGGCGGCTCCGGGGCACCGAGTCGGGGCACACTGGGCCAGGCCCTGCGGCAGGCTGCGAGGGTGGGGACACGGTGGGGGAGGGGTCGTTCCCTGATGCTGGCAGGGGCTGGTAGCCAGGCTGCCGCGTGGGCGAGCGGGCACTGGGCAGGCGTGCGGGGGGGCTGTCGATCTCTCCCTGTCCTTGGCAGCTCCCCACCCCCACTGCGCCGCAGCCCGACGGGTGGGGGGCAGGGCCCCTCCCCGGGGGCTGGCACCGTTCATGGCCCCCCCAGCGCCTGGAGCCTGCAGGAACAGCCTGGGCAGGGCCGGGGGGGCAGAGCAGGTGGGGGCGGATGGAGGAGCCCCCAGCCTGGCTGCGGTCACCCCGTGCGCCTGCCGGGCGATCGCTCGCTGCCTCGCGCGCTCAGGCTGGCGGCTGTTCTGAAAAGCGAAATCCCTGTCAAAAGCCTTTTGTCTCGGCTCGGCCCTGCGAACCCGGCCCCGGGGAGCTGGCAGAGCTTCCGCCGCAGCTGGCAGGATCCGCCGAGCCTGGCACAGACCGGCCTCCGGGCAGGGGCCTTCGCGGGGCTGGGCTCCCGGGCGCTGGGCTCAGCCTGGAGCCGCCGGGTCGGGGCCGGGGGAGTTCCCGGGGCCCGGCGGGTCTGCGCTGCTCTAGCCGGCTGGGGTGTGGGGCAAAGCCTCCAGGATCAGGCAGCTAGAGAAGAAAAGGAGCAGACAGAGCCAGGCACCAGGGCCAGGCCTATGGAAATGCAGGGGACAGCAGGGGCTGCGGGTCGGGAGTGAGGGCCACCGGCAGAGCTGGGGGGCTGCGGGTCGGGAGTGAGGGGCACTGGCAGAGCTGGGGGGCTGCGGGTCAGGAGTGAGGGGCACTGGCAGAGCTGTGGGGCTGTGGGTGGGGAGTGAGGGGCACCGGCAGAGCTGGGGGCTAGCAGGGGCTACGGGTCAGGAGTGAGGAGCACCAGCAGAGCTGGGGGGCTGTGGGTGGGGAGTGAGGGGCACCGGCAGAGCTGGGGGGCTGCGGGTTGGGAGTGAGGGGCACCGGCAGAGCTTGGGGGCTGCGGGTTGGGAGTGAGGGGCACCGGCAGAGCTGGGGGGCTGCGGGTCAGGAGTGAGGGGAGCCAGCAGAGCTGGGGACTAGCAGGGGCTATGGGTCAGGAGTGAGGAGCACCGGCAGAGCTGGGGGGCTGTGGGTGGGGAGTGAGGGACACCGGCAGAGCTGTGGGGCTGCGGGTCGGGAGTAAGGGGCACTGGCAGAGCTGGGGGGCTGCGGGTCAGGAGTGAGGGGCACTGGCAGAGCTGGGGGCTAGCAGGGGCTACGGGTCGGGAGTGAGGAGCACCGGCAGAGCTGGGGGGCTGTGGGTGGGGAGTGAGGGGCACCGGCAGAGCTGGGGGGCTGCGGGTTGGGAGTGAGGGGCACCGGCAGTGCTGTACGGGGACGCTGTTGGACGGAGGCATCAGGCACTAATCTGGGCGATCGAAGTTCGTCCCTGTGTGACGCTGGGTGAATCCCTCCCCCTCTGGGCAGTGGGGAGGCTGTGGGGAGCTGGCAGGACTCGGGGTCCCTGGGGACGTCCGGAACGTGCTGCGGGAACGTGGGTCAGTGTGACCCTGCGCCTGTCCTGTGGGTGCTGCCGAGGGGCAGGCGGGGGCAGCGCCCTGGTGTGGTGGGACGGCCGGATCTGAGAGCGAAGGTGCCACCTGCCGGCAGCAGCAGTCAGCCGGCAGAGCCCCGAGCTCGCCCTCCGTGTGTCAGGCGGGAAACCCCCTGCTCGGCGGCTGCCATCCCCGGGGCTGACGCTCTGACCAGCCTGGAGACCCCCCGCTGCTTGCTGGCGCCCAGGCCGCACCTAGACACTGGGCAGGGAGGGGCCCGGTTCGGCCGTGGGCTGGGGCCTCCCCCCTCCCCGTATTTCCTGCGTGTTCGTTCCTGGCTCTGACAAAGGCGCCGTTTAACTCCCCCGGCTAATCAGCGGCTCCCCCACCACAGGCCTCTCACTGACCTTTCCGCCGGAGCCGCCTGCCACAAATGTCTCCGTGCCCGGCTATTTTTACTCTGGGTAAGTGGCTGGGCTGCTCCCCCCGCGCAGGGGCCGATGGCCAGCGCAGGGACAAGCCGCTCGCTGCACACGACGGCCGCAGCTCTCGGGGGCTGAGGGCCTCAGTGACCGGTGCGGCGAGCGTGGGCTGCAGAGAGCCGGCCCCGGCCACAGGGCCTGGGCCAGCCTGGGGGCCCCCCAGCCAACCCCTGCGGGCTTCTCCTGCGCTCGGCCCTGGGCCCTGCGGGGCAGAGGGGCCTGGCCCAGCCTGGGGGAGCCCGAAGCCCGTCGCTGGGCTGGCAGAGCTGCCCGGTTAGCCTCTCGGGGGCTCCAGCGGCAGCAGCTCCAAGGGGCCCAGACCAAGCGCCCACTCTGGGGGGTCCGGGCCAGGTCTCTGACTGCCCTCGGGCCTGGGCTGCAGCAGGGGAGGGGGTAGCCCAAGGGTCCCCGACTCCCCCTGCACTGCCCCCCGAGGGTGCCCGGCGCCCACCAGCTGGTCGTTACTCCCCAGGCACAGCCGTCCACACAGGCCAGCCCGGCCCAGGGGTGAGGGACAGGCCCAGCTGCCCCCAGTGCCCGGCACCAGCCGGAAGCCTGCGGGGCAGAGCCGGGGCGAGATCCTGGAGCAGCAGGACCCAGCGGGACGGGCACTTCCCCTTTGGGACAGCCCTCCCCCCGCCTCCAGCCCCAGCCCTTACCCCAGCCTGCCCCCCCACCTGCCTCCAGCCCAGCCCCCCCACTTGCCCCCAGACCCCAACCCAGCTCCTTCTCCCAGACCCCCCTGCCTCCAGCCCAGTCCCCCCACTTGCCCCCAGTCCCCAACAGCCCGTTCCTATCCCCCGCCCCACACAGAGCTCCCTGGGACAGAGACCTGCATGCAGCCGTTGGCAGCCCTGTGAGGGGGGCCAGGTGCCCGTAACCCCTGGCTGGCCACGCAGGGCGCGGGGCGCTGGGCTGAACAGGGCAGGACCCGCGGGTGCAGGTGCTGGCAGAGGAGGGCAGCCCTGGGGCTCGGACGGGGTCTGATTGTCCAGGACGGGAGCGGCGGGGAGGCTGGAGAACTGAAGGATCCTTCCTGGGAGAGACCTCGCCATAGGCGCTGGGCGTGGTTCTGACCCCGTCTGGTTCTGCTGGGCACAGCCCGGATCCCGGCCCCCCCTACCCCTCAGCCCCCTGCCGCCCAGTGCAGCCAGCGCCACACGCGCTGCCCCTGCTTCCCTCCCGGATACGAGCCCCCCTACCGCCCAGCAGGGCTGCCCAGGCAGTGAGCACACAGTGCCGGCAATGCGAGCCCCACAGCAGCGGGGCTGGGACAGGAGCAGCGACTAGCTACAGAAAGCTGGGATGGCAGGGGCTGCGGGTCAGGAGTGAGGGGCACTGGCAGAGTGGGGGGACAGGGCTGGCTGTGGGGGCTGCGGGTCGGGAGTGGGGTGCACCAGCAGAGCTTTGTTTGGGGGGAGCCCAGGGCTGGCTGTGGGGGCTGCGGGTCGGGAGTGGGGTGCACCAGCAGAGCTTTGTTTGGGGGGAGCCCAGGGCTGGCTGTGGGGGCTGCGGGTCGGGAGTGGGG